CTCAGTCCAGGGGTCTCGATCCCTGAGCCCCAGTGTGGTCAGTCCAGGGTCTCGATCCCTGAGCCCCAGTGCGGTCAGCCCAGGGGTCTCGATCCCTGAGCCCCAGTGCGGTCAGTCCAGGGGTCTCGATCCCTGAGCCCCAGTGCGGTCAGTCCAGGGGTCTCGATCCCTGAGCCCCAGTGCGGTCAGTCCAGGGTCTCGATCCCTGAGCCCTGAGCCCCAGTACAGTCAGTCCAGGGGTTTCGATCCCTGAGCCCTGAGCCCCAGTATACTCAGTCCAGGGGTCTCGATCCCTGGGCCCCAGTATACTCAGTCCAGGGTCTCGATCCCTGAGCCCTGAGCCCCAGTACAGTCAGTCCAGGGGTCTCGATCCCTGAGCCCTGAGCCCCAGTATACTCAGTCCAGGGGGCTCGATCCCTGAGCTTCAACAGATCCCTTCAACAGATCTCCCTGGACTGTGAGAAGACCATCAGGACACGGATGTAATGCATCTGTATTACAGGTGGGTAGCTGCGTCAGCATGCGTAGGTTGCAAAGGAACAAGTAATAGGTTTATTCCTTGCTGAAAAGAGAAGAAAGAAAACGTTTTGTCCGTGGAGCCTTCTTCAGGTGTGAGAAAGACAGGGCAGTGAGCAAAGGTAACGTAGCAGGAGAACATTACTTGTTCCATCTGTTCTAGTGCAGGACAGAGACCTGGGCCTGAAATGCAAGACAGGTGTAGGACACAGAGGCTTAGGACAAGACAGGCAGATACATAGAACAGCCAGAGATGTGCCAGATGAAGAAGACAATCAGACAGGTCTGGTTTTCAATTTGACACACATCAGGGGAAAACATTTATGAAATAAAACCCAAAGCCCAGTCTGATTTAACTGAGAATCCCTTCTTTATTACACATTGGTACTGTTCTACAAAAAAGCACAGGGAGTAACCATAGGTAAGCACACAGTGTACAGGCTGAGAGAGAGACAGCTCTAGCAACTGGGCGTGAGTGTGTGTGTGTGAGAAAGAGAGAGACAGCT